GGAGGACTGTTGCCACCACCTGCATTGTTCATACGTTCACTTGTACCATGTTCCAAAACAAGATATGGACTAAATCGTGTTACAGTAACATTTGATGCATCTAATATACCAAGATGATGCAAAGAATTTGCTCTGATTTTTAAAAAACACTCAAAAATCTGTAATATGTTACATTAGTGCATATATACGAATGTGTACATGTGTGCTTGCGTGTGTATATGTATATTTATAAGTTTTAGCCTATTAACAAAATAATTACCAAATAACGTGTCGTTGATACATCATGGAAAACTGAGGGATCTTTGTAATGTTGCTCAAGATGATTCACTAAAATTTTGTAAGCACAAATTGCGTGACTCGATGGTAAACGATAAATTTTAGATGTAAATATTTTTAGAACTCCAACAACAGCAGTTTTTACATCTTTAATATCGGCATCCATAGATATTGGAGTGTCTGATGTGAAAGGCTTGTTGATTATCTAAAATAAATAAATTATCTCACTATAAATACATATATACACTTTTGTACTTAAGCACTTTGAATACCTTTTCCAATATATCTAAAAGTTCTATGCATCGCTTAGTATCACATTCCAAACAAAGATCTATTAATAAATTTGCTGTGACGGTGCGTATTGTAATATCTGGATCTACATCCACATGTTGTGTGTACGGTACAACTATTCGCTCAATAAGCTCATCTTCATATCTGGACCTATAAGTGATGTTTATAATAATATATACATATCTGTATGAATGTAAGAGAAAGAATGTTAGAGCGCAGCAGTGTTATTAAATCAAGAAAATTTATAATACCTATTAACATAAATGACATTAGTTAGAACGTCTAGAACCTTCATTCGAATGGTTGTACGTGTTTCAATTTTATAGTAACGTTCCATCAAAGATCCTAATTTGGTCTGCCATTGATAATATGTAGGACCTATCATAGAAGCTCTGTATTCAATTAATTTTAATACAGATCCTTCCTAAAAATAAAAAAATAAAAACTGTTTATAAACATTCATTTATACTATTTTGAATCTATATGCACTTACAGGTCGAGAATCGCTACAACGTTCAACAAGATCATAAAAACGTTGTACGCAACCATTATAATTGTTTGCGTCAAGTAAACTTTCAATATTAGTCATTGTCTCATGTAAACTCGTAGAAACTTGTTTGGTTGCTGGTTGATTACTAGTTTCTAAAACAATGCATAAAAATCATAATTTTAATTATATATACATATGTATGTATATAATAACTATATATTATTATAGTTATTGTTTTCTTTAATTAGAATAAATATAAGCATTTTAGTAAGTTTTACCAGTGTGAGTAATAATTTCTTCTATGATATCAAGAATGATGCTCCATGTAGGATCCCATAATTCATTACCATACTTATTCACCAATCTTTGTATTGATAGAGTGACTTCATACATAACAATTGGATGATTGCACTGTAGAGCCTGTTAATGTAGTCATCATATAGTTTATTATGTCTAATATTGCACGCATGTATACGTATGCATCAATACTTCATAAAATAAAGATAAAACAGATGTATACATACTTGATAGAACGAAGGTAAAACAGATGCTGGCGTACATTCTAATTTTGGTATTCTATGCGTACCCCACAAACCCATATTTACATAAAACACGGCACCTCGTAATAGACGAACGTCACGTTGAAAGTTAGTATCTTGTAACAAGCGGCACATTGTATACAAAGCACAATGACCCATATGTGTTCCTAATAAATTTCGCATAATCTGTAAAACCATTATAATGTATGTACATATACTTCATATTTTATTTACTAATTTTAGGACATATGTAATACACCTTTTTAAATTTATTAAAAGAAAATTATTTGTATATGCATAGAATATGTATAATATATATACTATACATATTCTATATATATAGTATAGCTATATATATAGTATAGTATAGAATGTATATCACTTATATGTATAAACATGGAGTATATCTATTTGTAGTAGATAATCAATAAAGGAAAAGATTTTTACATGTTTCTGAACACATTTAAATATTATTCTACCTTCCAACTTGTTTGGCAATAAGTCTCAACATTTACACTTCTGCACAAGGCTATAATAAAGGTTTGCAATGAGTCAGATTGTAAATTACTATAACACATAATTGCATCGAGAGCTTCCAAACATCCAGAAACAACTTCGGTATTATTACTATAATAACACAAATGAGAAATATATCTGAAAAAATTATGATAACTTATTATATGAGTAAAGTAATTTCACTTATTGTTAGAAAAAAAAAATGATTTTTAAGATATTTACTGGACGAGACCAGATATAATATCCTCATCGATGTAAGCAGAGTTGAATTTGATAACATTAACAAGAAGAGACAAAAATTCAGCTCCTCTTTTCCCATCTCCTGCTGTTACTGTAGGCATCCATTCTAATAGAAAAGGACCCATTCTTTCTTCCAAATGTAAAATATCTTTCCCATGTTCTGTTAATGTTTGTAACAATTCCAATCTGAAATATCAAAAAAATGATAGATAAAACAGTGACAGTTAAAATAAGATAATGGATATTGTCAAAATACCTAGGACCAATATCTTCAGGAATATCATATTCCTTCACCACCATGAAAAATTTTACACGCATCAATGATGAAAGTTTAGAATATTGTCCTTGTACAAGGCATTTTAAAAAATTCAAGGTTAAATGCCTATGTTCGCGAGGAACATCCTTTCCTAGTAAGTCTTGAACTAAATTCCATAAACGTTCAGCCGCTCTCTGTTATTAGAAACAAACAGAAAAAAAGTTAAACGTGAATCATTATTTTTGTCTGATCTTTTATACTTGTTCATTTAGAATGACACTTTGTAACTTTTTTTAGATAAATATAGATAAGAGTGTATATATACATCTTCCCACTGTTGATTGAGCACTGCGTCACGAAGCTCTTTAATCGCTTTCGTACGATGATGCACTGGACTGTCTGGACTAATTTCTTTTTCGATATCATAAGTCAAAGTGAATTCTTCGCGACTCTTATAACTTCCTGCAAAAAGACGATCGATATAATTATAAATATCGGACGTAACATATAACTTGCGATATACGAGATATTCGAAACGTAATATATTTACCTTTATTTATGCGAAAAAATTGCTTGAGTTTATCATGCAACGTTTTGTTGTCTTTATCTTTCGAATTCATTTTCGACATTTTAGTCTGAAATTTAAGGAAACTTGTGGAAAAATGTATTCAATAAATATTACACTGAACATATCAAAAACAGAGAACAAGCTGAAGCTGAGTGCACCAATCCAACCAGTGACAAGTGACAATCAGGACAATCAATGATGCCAGCTACACTCATAAAACATTGATCCGAACTACGTAGCTACACAATTGCATACCCGATAAGTAAGTCAATTATAAGTCATGTTTGAATTTCCGTTGTTTGAGCTCTGCGCGAAGAAATCACTTGATCATCGATAGTCATCAACGAGATACTAGGTTTGTTGCTTGATATAATATTTCCAAAAATGTTTACACTTAAAATGGGATAAATATACAATATATTCAAGAGTTGAAAGGAGAGAGAACGAAGACACTAAGTGCAAAAAGTGCAAATAACACGGACTTATCTCAGCCGCAGTTCGATTTATGCTCACAATGCTTAAAAATCATTTCATCTTTGTTGTTTGTCAAATGTTAAACAACGACAAACGACACTCATGAGCGTTGTTAGGTCTGTTCTTTTAGACTGAACTTTTGCACCAGTTCATCTTCCTTTCCCTTCTTTCCTCTTAGAGAGAAAAGGAAGAAAGATGAACTGGTGCAAAAGTTCAGCCAAAAAGAACAGCTTATTAAAGACGGCCGGCTTTATAGAACGTGACTGTTAAAATTTAAGAATATAAGAAACTGATAGTACAATGCTAATTTTATGAGTTTTGTAAACATGTATCTATATACTTAAAACCCAATAATACTCGATTAATATGATTTTTATTTAAAACTATATAATATGATTTAGTGTTATCGTTTGATTATCAATAGAAATGATAATAAATGTAAGAGAGAAAAAATTGTAATTTTGCAGCCACATATAAGATAATATATTATAGCATTACAAGAACTTATTTATGGAACATTTATATAATAAAAAATATCATGAATTTAATAATGTATCATCCCAATATTTATATGTTAAAATAATTGCAATTTTATATCAATTGTCGATAATGTCACCGTTCTTTATCTTTGGGCTCTTTTCTATTAGATTACAAAAATTTGAATCAACCATTTAATATCTCGTTGACACTTATACTAATTATTAATACGAAATTATTACAATCAATTACATCTCATACAAACACGTATGTATGTACAACAATATTATATTATTCTTTGTATAAACGTTTGAAGAATAACAATTTGAATAATTCTCGATCGTACTTTTTTTTCAATATGTAATTTATTTTATAGGATCGATAAATGAACTAAAGAAATTTCGAACATTTATTAATTACAAATCATGTGAAATTAAGAGTAGAATAATTCGATCTTTAAGAAGCTTTTTGATTATAATCACACACAGTTTCTTTTTTATTACATACTAAATTGAAAAAATAAGTATTATGAAGTGTAAAGGAAGTGCCAGAATGACAATTTTTATTAATGTGTGAATATTATGCATATGGATGTTAAATAATGTAGTCGATAACTATAAAATTGTTATTGCAGCTTTTCATAAAATTTATATATACACGTTATTTTCTCCGAATTGATATAATTTTAATATTCCTTCTTTGCGTGCTTTATCGTGTTAGATCGTGTGACCTTCCTCCTAATTTATGTCTCTCTCTCTCTCTCTCTCTCTCTCTCTCTCTCTCTCTCTCTCTCTCTCTCTCTCACTCACTCTAATTCGAGAAAACGTCAGAACAGCAACTATACTATACTGCTGCTGCTAAAGTGTTGCATGATTTCAGCAGGCAGCTTTCAGTATCGTGGCAACTTGTGGCGAGTATTGACGACTTTGCAGTGTGACCAAGTACGTGTGACAAATACATAGTGCCGCGTAGAAACAAAAGCAGGTAATTAGCTGATGATTAATAATTCCTTCTTTCACACAAAGTTCTATGAGAAATGCCTATTAGTGTCCATTTATTAATATGTGTGTGTGTATATTCTCAAACAGCATAGACCTCCAAGGAACGTCTTAAAAACATCCTGAGAACATCCCTACATCCTCTAAACGTTTCTAGGACATTTACTTATTGTTAAAGTGTATGGACCTATATAATCCTCTTTCACTCACTCACTCACTCACTCACTCCCTTACTCCCTCACTCCTTTACTCACTCCTTCACTCACTCACTCACTCACTCCCTCACTCCTTCACTCACTCACTCACTCACTCACTCACTCATTCAAGAAGATTACATAGCGATATAGAATACTTTCCATTTAGTAAAACAAGTCGGCACAAACATTAATTTATCTTTCTTGAAATTCAAAAGGTAACAAAAATAGAACATGATCTGTGTTGAGTCACCAAATGAGAAATACCCATAGTTAAATACATTTCAGGATAACTTTTAATTTTAATCAGAATACATTTTCGTTTTTATATAATAACAGTGAATCAATAATCCTTATGTTACGTACATATCATACATACAGTTTGTGTTATAAGAGTGTTCAATGATGTTAAAATGTTATCATAAACAAAATTATTATAGAATGCAATTTGACATTTTTCCATACAATTTTTCCTAGCTTTTCGCGGGAAACGTCTGTGATCTGTCCAAAACCTAATTTTTTTATATTCAGTACTGGAAGTATAAGTTTTTTATGTAGAAACACATAATGTACTGTTTTAATCAATATTTATTTTTAATTTCTCGCGAATCTTTTTGGCGATACGAATAAAAAGATTGTTACGGACTGTATAATGAATGCATGAATCGTATATGAATCTCCCTCCTTCTCTCGAATGATATTGCGTCGTGTCGATCCAAGGATAGCAGCAGCATGAAAATACCATAAAGTGCCAAGTTCCGGATTGCCATAAATTAAATCTCTGTGCTTTGCATACAAAAATCATTGACTCAACTGAAATATACTTTCTTTGTAATATTTATAAAACAAATGGCGAGCTGTATAAAATATAGACGATGCGACTTATATTCGTATTCATAGTCAGGCTTTATATTTAAGGCTTCCTTAAATTTATCTTTAGATACTCTACGAATTATTTCATTGGCTGCTAATCTAAAGATAAATTTAAGGAAACCTTAAGTATAAGGTCTGACTATGAATACGGGCATTAATCTCGATTTCTTTAAAATATCCTATCTCTTTAAAATATCCTAGAAATATTTAATCATCTACTGTATAATTGACACTCAAAAATTTTTCTTAAATAATTTTTAAAGAACATTTTAAAAATTGTAGAAAATTTTGATAAAGGATTAATTAAATATATTAGCGGTTTCTTCTACTTCTTCTATCTTTCTTTGATATCTTCCCAGTGAACACAAAGTTACATGTAACGTACTTGTTAATTTCCCACACGTGTTATATTACAGTTATATTGTTGAGTGAGAAATTACAACTAACAGGTATATTACATGTAATTTGTGTTTATTGAGTTATTATAAGCATTTTATCTTGTATCTTTATGAAATCTATTTTGTTTTTAGAATGTTTTCGCGCGCTATGTTTAATTTTTTTTCTGGAGCGTTGTTAATAATTGCCCTTATTCCGGATGCGGCATCTTATAACAGTAAGTAAATAACGATAATTAAATCTCTTGGTGATTAAATTTATTACAATATGTAATATATCGAGAAAAAAAGAGAGAAAATATGTATTTTCATTTTCTTATTTTTCAGAATATGGAAGAACCTGTAAGGACATTGGCTGCCGTACTGATGAAACATGTGTAATGGTCGAGGATCCTTGTACCGGCTATACAGATAAATGCGGACGATATCCGACTTGCCGGAGGACAAGTGGTAAGGAATGACATAATAGCTAATTTATCTCAACAATTTCAACAATTGATCTTAATAAATCAAGAATATATATACATCACACACGTGTCATACATACAATAATATTATGTATACACGCATAATTTTTCTTATTTCAAAAGATAAAGGTAAAATTATTATATTACACTCTTTATATCGGAATATTTATATTAGAGTGTGTATTTATATTGTATCTGAATAATTTTTTAAAAAATTTTACAGATGTAAGTTGTACCAGTATGGTTTGCGGAGAGAATGAATATTGTAAGAGCGAAAATGGTGCGCCGAAATGTGTAAGAAAGTCTACAGGATTTGGTAAGTTATTACAATTTTATATTTTATTGGCATTTAATATTCGACACATTGCGAACTTGAAAACGTAAAAACGATAACTATGCATGAATAAAAAGCATGCTGAAATTAAGTAAAATAAATTATTTGGGATTATGGAATTTCAAATTTTTCACGCTTATGAGCAAAATAAATTTTCATAATTATGGGTCTCATGTATTTCATAGCATGTATGGGATTGGAATGAGGAAGGCATGATTGCTTCAAAAAGACAAAGCGAAAAAAATGTCTACTTAATCTTCTCCATTTATTGCGCAATCATGAATTAACTCAGAATTCTACATTAAAACGTACATATATATTTTTTATTTTAATTGTTAACTGTTTAAGTGAGATTCATATAAAAACAATATTTATTGTTAACATATTATTCAATGTAACATACTATATAGCATATTACTATTAAATATTATGATAATGTATATTATATTATATACATATATTATGTATATTCTATTATTATAGTTAATTTACTATTTCTTGTGTAAATTTATATAGCCCACCTATATGTATTCACATAAAATTTTGAACGATGCACACAAGTAAAATATTTCAGTTTTAATGGTGATACTTTGATAAACATAAAGACTACTTTTTTACTGAATACGAAAAAATTTACATACACATATATTTTTTTATGTCAAATTATATAAGACCTGATGATGTCTTATTATCTATAAGTCTTTACATGTCTTTACATTGATTTATTATCTGGATATAAACTTAATATACAAAGCAATATATTGTTCCATTTTTTTCTTTTAATTTAAACATAAATATGTTTAAATATAAAATTGTTCTTAGGACATTAATAATTTGCTCCATTAGAAGAGATATTTTATTCTTAGTATTTTCTAAATTTAATATTTCTTTTTTGAACGGAGAAACTTCCTGATATGTCATCTTTGTTCAATCCAAACTTGAGCAAAAGAAATAATAAATAATCTCTGAGTATTTAATATAGCAATAAAAAAAACTTTATTGCAACTCGTTATCATCTTGCAATGTTTCGTATAATTTAATATTCTATTTGTGTGTTTACCAAAAATACGCACAATACGAAGTGAGTGAGCATCCTTACAGGCTACGAATCAGCTGGCGTGTCTTACGTGAACGGCGAGCGAGTGAACAGTGGAAATAACGCAAATCCATATGCGAATGCCAATGCTCCACCAATGCCGGCAGTACCACCATATCCATCTAGTGATAGCGAACATCACCGTTCTTCTTCTGGAAGCAACTTAGGATATCCACCATACCCCAGTAATACCGGTACCTCTGGACATGGATACCCATCATACCCACAATCAACCAATCAAGCTGGTCGTCAAGATTTGGGATATCCACCATATCCAACGCAAAACAGAATGCCTACACCAGGACAATCAGCTTATCCACAAAATTCTGGATATCCTCAAGCTCCAGTAAACCCACAGTATCCAGGATACCAAAATTATCCCTATCAAAATTATCCGAATCAACATGGATATAACTACAACTCAAATTCGGTATATAGAAGAAGGAACGCTGCATCAGTCGAAGCAGTTGCCTCCATGATTCTTGTTGGATTTTCTGGATTATTCCTCCTTGTTATGATACAGTGGTGATCTAACTAAAAGTGTCTTATCTGCGTCATGATTATTATTTTGCTATTCTTTATCTTATTTGCAGCACAGTCCATGACTATTTATTAAGGAAAGTATTTTGCAGAAAGTGTTACATAAAAATTCTTGTACAGATATTTTATAATATAAATCGAGCGCGAATGATATTTTTAAAATCTAATATTTTATAATATTTTTTCTTGTATATATATATATATATATATATATATATATAAACTGTATCGTCATATATATTTTAAATTATATATAACATGTTAATTATACATAACATGTTAATTATACATAACATGTTAATTATACATAACATATTATTAGGTGTTGGAATTAATTCGTAGCGTTTTACAAGTGATGGGAAGTACTTTCATTAATGTATTTTTTAATGTTCATGTGAAATAAATAACATTCTTTCATTAAAAACGCTACGAATTAATTCCAACACCTAATAATTATATATAACATGATAAACGTATATATTGACTGTAAATACTCAGACAATTAAAATCAGATCATAAGTTTTTTTCGTCTAAAAGACGACTTAAAGACGTCTTATATCATAATTTTCAACTTTGTGTTGTTGGGTAATTTCAGTGTTTTGAAGAAAACAAATTTTATTCTCTAATTCAATGATTTTCTTAATTTAGGAAGAAAATTCACTTTCATCAATATCATTTACCCTAATCCATTACATTAGTAATTAGAAGTTTACGATTTTATAAAAATATTCTAATTTATTCAGCATAATTATATATTTATATGCATGTACGTATGCGTGTACGTTTATAATTTACAAGAAATGCTTTTAAATTGTGAAGTTTTCAATAAGCTATGCGTCATTTCTTATATTTTCATAATTTGGACAGTTTATAAAACGCTTCATGAGCAATTCTTATTCAACATGGGTAATAGGTACTTTATAAATGAAGGGGATATCAGCTTGAACTTTGACACATATTATCTCTTCATACGCCATATAATGTATATATAAGCAAATTTAAATGAACTATTACTGCGTCTTACCGATTATTTTTTTTATTTCTTTTGATCTAATGACTTCAGTAAAAACATGGTGGAAATAATACTTCTACCATGAGTAAAAGCACATTACATTTATTATAATCATTGTAGAAACGAAAGAATGCAACTATTTATTTTATACGCATAAATTCCTTCATGTGTACAATTTATTTGTAGCAATAGATGAATAAATAATGCTACAAATGGACATAGCACACAGAAATTGTATTTATTATAATTGGCTGTTAATTTTATCATTCTTCTCGCGTATAAAAATTATGTTAAGAAGAAACTATCAAAGATTGAAAATAATGTATAATATTTTATGTATTATATAATTTTATATTACAAGAAACAGCCATAATATTACAGCAATAACTGATAAAAATTTGATTTTGATTTTCGTATTGGTTTTTTTTCATTATATATAATTTAACAGCATTACCTGCGGGACTAAACCAAGTATCGCATCGATCGACAACAAGAGTGCCATCGCCGCCGCCTAGATCTTCATCGTATGGAGGAAGATATAATGGTTACTCCGGCTCCAGAAATACTGTAGGTGATGGCTCCATTTTTAATCGTTTATTCGGCAACGACCGTCATCCTCGACCAACCAGCTCTGTCAGAAGCACTACGCAAACAAGTGGAAACAATTATTACAATACTCACACTCACGTGGATAATTATGGAAACAGAATTTGGACATTTTCTGGTTAAAAATTTATTTACATGTTTCATTTACTTTTAATTTCGAAATATTAATGTAAAGTGGGTGCCAATATTGATGTTTATATCATTTTACATATATAGCACTAAATGATATTCCTTTGATCTAATAAATGTAATATTAATTACTCATAATAATTGGAATAAACTTCATTTATAAAGATTATAAATTTTTGAATAATATACAGTTTTAGATATTCAATAGTAAAAAAATCGTAAAATTGTAAAACTGCTTTATTAAATTAATATTATATAAAAAAATTGTGTGCTCTGTGTGATTAACATAATTGATTAAAGATATAATAATTCATCAAAAGATATAATTCTTCTTTTAATTTAAGGTGTTTGAAAAATTCTTTCTTATTTTTTAATTTTTAATATTCAGTAATTCCAATAAAATCCAAATGATTTTTTCATTTAATGCTTTGAAAAATCAAGTAAGATACCTTTGCTTTAATTTAGTTATTTAGTGTGATAAATGATATGCACGCATACAAATACAAATTTGACTTTGCGCTATGTGCATGTATATGATAGTTGTTATATGTTCCATATTTTTATCTCTTCAGAATGTTTAACAATGTAATTCAATTTATAATACGTTGTGTGAAAAATAATTCAAATATGATTTTATTTCATTTTCTATTTAAAATATCGTATAGACATTGCAATGCGTGCTATAGTGCAAGCCTTATCTGCATGTGTGCACGGTAAATGTTAATCCAACAACAATTGATGATGCTTTTTGATAAAAATAGATTATACATATTTCACCTTTATACCCTTGAGTATTTTTTATAATTTGCATTGTTACTGTATGCAGAGAATGAAATGAGGACACGAACAATTCCAAAACGGCAAACTAGTTATCCAACGGCAACCGAGACACACGGCTCTTCAGATACTCCTAAAAATTCAGACGACCAATCGTATCTTGCTAGATCTTCTGGTTATCCATCCAGTTCAGGATATCCTGGTAGCAGCAGTTATCCAAATTCCGGATCTTCGAAAGTTTCTGATTCATCAAATCAACCGCGATCTGGTTATCCAAACAGTGGTTCTGGTTATCCATCCAGCGGATCCGGTTATCCGTCCAGTGGATCATCCGGTTATCCGTCCAGTGGATCATCCGGTTATCCATCTAGTCGGTCTAACGGATCACCCAGTCATTCATCTAACAGTGAATTATCTGGATATCCGTCTAGTCAGTCTGGTTATCCATCCAGTGGATCCTCTGGCTATCCTTCGAGTGGCTCATCCAATTATCCATCTAGAGATAGTTCCGGTTATCCAATAGGATCTGCAAATCCAAGTAGAAATAGCGGTTCTTCAGGATATCCAGATAATTCTAGGAATGGCGAGGAGACTATTAGACGAACCGGCGCTAGCGCTGTGAATGCTGGTTATCCGAGCAATCCACGCACACCCGTATATCCAGAAGGAAATCCGTCATACCATGGTAACTATCCGGCTCAAAATACAGGATATCCGTACAATAACCAACGTTCTCCATATCCTAATCAAGGATATTCAAATGGGTATTCACAAAATTATCCGCAAGGAGGATATTATCCGCAAGCAGGATATTATCCCGAAGGACGTTATCAAGGTCAGAATTATATGACTACTACCAACCGTCCTGGCATTCGAGATCAATTGACGAATTTTGCGCGAAATATGGCAGAGAAGGTGCTGACTCAAACGATACTAGATCGCATCACAGGCAGACATCAATAAAATAACTACTATAATAGTACTAGCATTTTTTGCACTCTATAAAATCTGAATTAAAATGTCCGAAAATATTAGTTACATAGAAAATAGCACTTTCTAAAATCTCTTTCTTTCTATAAAGAAATATTGTTAATATAATTTAATAATTTTAGGCATATTAAATATTTTAGTAAAAATCTAGTCTTAAGTTAATTTTCAGGAAGCAAATAGGTCAGTGAAAAAGTTATCGCCAAACACAGAAAGTTTAAATATATATAAATTTCTTTATATATTACAAATTTTTTTTAATTTTCTTACGTTATACACATATAAAAATCTTTTATATAGATATTAAATTTTTTAAAAATATTTTATTGTTTATAATTTGGATATTAATGCTATTTATTTTGTTAATAATGAATGGAGTAATTTAGGATGTCTTTTATATATCACAGATATATTTTTTGCAGATTAGAAATATATATATGCGCGTTAAAGCTGCTTTTAAAGCTTTCTTGTACAAACAAATAATTTTGAAAATTTGTAAAAGTAAATCTTGATAATAGAGATAACAAAATACATTTATTATTATCTAAAAGTTTTAAATTATTTCTTATCCTTTTAATTTTGTGTGTGTGTGTGTGTGTGTGTATATATATATACATACATATATAATGTAATAAAGTAATTCGTATAAAAATATAACAGGATTTATAATTCATCTCTTTCTTGGAAAAACTCTATTTTCCTCACACTTCCAAGAAATAATGGTATTCTGCTTGGTTTATGTTCAATTGCAAACATGAACGGACGATTCACCATGAACTCCATTGATAAAGTTGCCATCCTTCTCAATCTCATTCCCACAACTGTAACAAATAGTTCCTTATTTTAACACTTATAAAATTCATCTAATTTTTTATCATTCATAGAGACAGACAAATTACCTGTCGCAGCAGCAGCTTCCGAACCTTCTTCATTAATTTCGATGAAAATTTTTTGTAATGCATGACTTACTTTCAGAGGAATGTTTGAGAGCTGTGTAAAATCTGCATCATCCTCAAAGATTGTATTTAAGCCAATCTACGAGCATATATTTCCGTATTAGTTATTTAAAATGTATTTCACTAATTTTATATTGCTTACCTTACGTAAAGTATCTTTCAAATCTACGGTAATTTCAAACTTAAATTTAGGTAGATATAATGCAATCTCGTCGATAGACCTAGGTTCATCTGCCAACGTTTTCCAGTTAAAATTATTTTCTAAAACTTGCAATTCGGTCTCTCTATCTGGCAATAATATTATCATTACAATGTCTTGATTCTGCAAAATTGTACTTTAAATTAATTTCATTTTTGTAAGTCTTTTTTATAGGTAATCACTTACCAAGTATGGAATTTCAATAAATGTTGTATCCCAAATAGATATTTTGCCATAAGCATATTTTGATGTTTTAAACATTGTCGGAACAAGATTCGTTTCTGTTTTGGAAATATAAAATTTGCGCTTTACTGTATTCATTTCATCAAACTTATGTAACCATTTACTCTTAAAGTAAATAGCATTTATTAACATAATTCTTGTATCTTCATCAATATCATCTGTTCAAAATAATTTAATTAATAAAAATATTTTGTATAGTGTGTTAATCTATACTGAATTATTACAATTATCATATAATATACCAGAAGAAATTATGTCAAATATCTTATTATTTGTTGCTTCTTGAACCCATGAATTAATAGTTTTTACAGCAAGCTCGTTATTTTTGAAGTTCAATCTTGAAATTGAAGATTGAAATACATTTGTGCATATCGCTAAAAATTCAGCCATTAAATCAAATCCATCTTGAACATATATTTTATTTGCTATATGCAATTCAATATTTTCAATGCCCTAAAATATATTTAAATGTATACTTGATTCTCTGAGAATTAATTATAGATATTATATTTTCTTAACCTTACTTTCAACAAGAAAATCAGAGTTTTAAATTTATCATTTGCAGAAACTATATTGTCATAATGAAGAACAGATTTTAGTTCGTTCAATGTAGATCCTCCAGCACCATTAGAAAGTAAAGATAATATCATATGCAAGCTTAAAGGAGAAATTATAACGTTGCTGTTAGTGTTGGTTGTTAAACTCTGAAATGGCAAATTATAAACTAGAAAACTCTCGTACATGTAATTTATATAAAATATAAAAATATAGTGATCATATACCTTGTATAACGGGATTATAAAATTGTTACATGCTGTAGATAAGGTTTTAATATCATTTAGTTGACCACCTGACATATCTTGATAAGACGGTGCTAGTGCACTATTGATAATGATCGCAAATAAAACTATAAAAAAGAGTTGATTATAAAGTTGTGGGCTGCTGTTTTCAATAATTCTAAGAATTAATTGAAACATATATTAGGAAGGAATTTGTCAATATTGATCACACACCATTCCATGTCCACGTAAACATTCCGCCATGACGTTGTGCTTGCCGCTTAGCCGAAAACTACCGTGAAATACTTCCTCATACACACACGCACGCACGCACGCACGAACACACACACACACGCGCGCATTCCTCTCTCTCTCTCTCTCTCTCTCTCTCTCTCTCTCTCTCTCTCTAGTAAGTAAATATATTTCAAGTAAACACAATTAAGAGAATAATTAACTCAATATGTTAATTATTAAACGCATTTTTATTTTTTTTCAAGTGCCATTGACTGGCATTGATTAATAGTCATTTTTAAATGACTAGCTAAAATCTTTCTAAAAAGTTTAAAAATTTGAAAATTTCGATTAAAAAAATAATACGTATTGTAACATTTATATATATATATAAAATTCAATTTTAATCAAGTTTTTCCTTCTCTAGAATAGATTAAGTTAGATGCTATTTGTGTTGAACTTGCGTCAACTGCTAATTCTACAATGAGTCAGTAATCTACGGTAGTTCTAATCAGTCCTAAGTTTTATCGATGAATCGATGAAATTAGCCAACGGTCAAATTCGATTTTATTCTTTCACATTAGTCGAGCTACACAATTAACATACTTGTAGAAATGCGAAAAATCATAATCATCATCACTGCGGTTAATTGACTAAGATTTCCAACTATCGACTCATTGATAGAATCAGCTTTAAACGAAACTATAATATCTTACGGCAATAATTTTAAATCAATAATATTAGTTTTTAATTTTCAGGGAATTTCGATCTATATACGAAATTTTCAGAACGCTTACGATATGTCTTTTATTTCTCTTCTGTTCAGTCTTATTACGAGAAAAATTCTAATTTCCTAAGGCGATGAAATTTATGCGGTCAATAAAAATATAATTCAGCAAACTTTGTAATAGTAGCAATGAATTAATATTAAAATAACACAATAATTCTTCGAATACACAAAGAGTAATGTATATTTGTGTCTTCTGCAAAAAAATTGTATGCATATGTTTGGTAAAATTGTAAGGTAATTGTAAATTATTATATAATGTATATGCATATAATAATTGATACGCGTTTATTATACATATAGATTTTCTATCTCTTCTATGTATAGCTCTGTTCGTAAGATAAATTTGTGGGTAAGACGGCCATCTTTAAAATACAAAAAGCATATTGTATGTAATTTCTATTATCTTTAATAAGTAATGCTTCCGTATGGCGGAAAAGATATACTAAAATATAGCACTTATTAAAGATAACAAAAATTAAAATATGTTTTTTACATTTTAAAGATGACCGCATTTTATTCAAGTTTACTTTATATATAGAAAAAAAATAATAAAAAGAAAAATTAAAAAATAATTAAGAGGATAAATTTCGTATTTTTTAAATAAAAAAATAAAATTTGTGAAAATGAGAAAAAAATTGCCTCTATATATTATATATATATATGAATATAAATTATTTAATATTATATAATATATAAAATATAATATTGTAATCTTTTATTTTTC